TTTTTTTTGCATGTATCTGACCAAATTTCCCAGCACCATTTATTGAAGGGATTGCCTCCTTTGTCAAATATTAATTGAGCATAATAGCTTGGGTCTATTCCTGGGTTCTCTGTTCTGTTCCATTGGTCTATATGTCTGTTCTTGTGCCAGTACCAGGCAGTTTTGAGAACCGTGGCTTGGTAATATAGTTTGATAATCTGGTCTTGTGATTTTTTTAAAGAAAATAATACTTTTATTGATTTCAGAGAGAGGAAAGGAGAGGGAGAGATAGATGGAAATATCAATGATGAGAGATAATCACTGATTGGCTGCCTCCTGCACGCCCCCTACTGGGGATCCAGCCTACAACCCAGGCATGTGCCCTGACCGGGAATGGAACCCCGACCTCCTGGTTCATGGGTCTACGCTCAACCACTGAGCCAGGCCAGCTGGGCTGTCAGAAGGTTCTTTTGCTCTTTGATTCAATCCACACTCCTCAGCACCGCTGCGGCTTCTGCAAACCTCTGCCACCTCCCTGGGTGCCTGGTGCTCACTGGAACTTGGAGCCGCATTAGACACCGGCGCCCGGCTGTGTGTGGGGCTTAGTTCTCCCTCTGCCTGGCTCCTGCTTCCCAGGGCCTCCCCTTCACTTCTCAGCTTAAACGCCCTCCCTGACCATTCGGCTGCGTATTCTCTGTGATTGTTCTGTTCACTGACCTGGCTTTGCCTCCCTGTCAGGAATGTGAGCTCTCGAGGGCGAGGACAGTGTCCCCGCTGCATGTCTGCCACGGGGCTCCCTGTGGCACTTGGTTAAACGAATGGATGAATGGAGAGGCACACGGGGGGGGACAAGGCTTGGGGGTCCGGCCTGGCCCTGCTCCTCTGATCCTCACCTCTTCCCCTCCGGCAGCCACCTTCTGGGTGAACCCCCAGTTCAAGATCCGGCTGGAGGAGACGGACGACGTGAATGAGGACGACTACGGGGGTCGAGAGTCGGGCTGCAGCTTCGTCCTGGCGCTCATGCAGAAGCACCGCCGCCGGGAGCGCCGCTTCGGCCGCGACATGGAGACCATTGGCTTCGCAGTGTACGAGGTGAGCAGGTGGAAGACGCCAACACCCGCCCACAGCAGGCGAGGTCCGCCAGGGGGCGCCAGAGGACGGCCTGCCCATCCTGAGACCCGGGGGTGAATCACGCCCCTGAGCAGGATCCCAGGAGCCCAGGGAGGCACCTGCTGAGGCCCTCTGCCAGGCTTGGGGCGGGCCACGGGGTGAATCTCGCCCCTGAGGCAGGAGCCCAGGAGGCCAGGGCGGCACCTGCTGAGGCCCTCTGCCAGGCTTGGGGCGGGCAGGGGCCTAAAATCCATCCGGTGAGGCGGGGGGCAGGCGGGAGGAAGGTGTCCCAGAGGCTGCTCTTGGGAAGAGGGAGCTGACTTAGCTGACACCTGAAAGGCAGCTTCTGGGCCAGACTTCGGCTCCGATTCTCTAACCTCCCTGTCTCTCTTGTAGGTTCCTCCGGAGGTAGGTGTGGCACGTGACTCACCCGGATTTACACGCCCCTGAACACACATGCCTGATGTGCCCAGAGGGGAGCAGTACTGTGGCCAGCCCACACTAAGGAGTCACCTCGTTTTACTGCTCACCAAGTGCCCCCAACCCTCACCCACTGTTCCGTGGGCAGAGCAAACTGCTCTCCTGGGAGTCAGAGCAAGTAACACGTGAGGGAGCTGGATTTGAACCCTGGCCCTCAGAGCCCCACCCAACATGCTCACCCCGGCTCTTCCTGTCTTCCTGTTTCCACTGCATGAGTCTTGGCTGCAGCCTCTGGGGCACTGGTTAGGGGCAGGGGCTGGATGGCTGAGCGTTCTGCAAGTTGCTGAAGCTTTAAGCCTCGATGTCAGTGGCTGTGAAATGGGCACGGGAGCACCATCCCCCGGGGCTGTCATGAGCGTTAAATGAGGGACGGAGTCTGACACGGGGAAGCTCCGACTAGTAATGAGAATGTTACTGCATGGTTACCGTACCTGCATCCACCCGCACCCCGTGCGGCAGGCAGGATCAGTACCCCGTTTTACAGGTAAGGAAACCGAGACAGCATGACTTGTCAGGGTCATGCAGCCGATGGGTGACTGAGCCCTGATCCAGCTCTCCAGGCGCTCGGCCAGGACTTGGGGCCCGGGCTCTGGGTCTGGGGGCAGCTCCTCAGGGTGGGCTGAGCGGGCAGCTGCAGCCCCCACTCCCTCCTTCCCCTCCACCAGCTGGTGGGCCAGCCGGCCGTGCACCTGAAGCGTGACTTCTTCCTGGCCAACTCGTCTCGGGCCCGATCGGAGCAGTTCATCAACCTGCGGGAGGTCAGCACCCGCTTCCGCCTGCCGCCCGGGGAGTACGTGGTGGTGCCCTCCACCTTCGAGCCCAACAAGGAGGGCGACTTTGTGCTGCGCTTCTTTTCGGAGAAGAGCGCCGGGACCGAGTGAGTCGGGGGCCCTGTCCTTACCTCCTGTCCCCACAGGCTCCCTGCTGCCCCTGACTGGCCCCTTTCTCCCCACCCTCCACAGGGAGCTGGACGACCAGGTCCAGGCCAATCTTCCTGACGAGGTGCGTGCCTGCCTCCACCCCCAC